ATAAAAAGGAAATCTAAGAGATAAAGGGAGTCCAAAGCATTCCTAGAAACTCCTAACTACTGTTTCAGTGACCAGAGTTTGAGAACATGGACCAATGGCATTTTTCCTAATTATATAAGCACAAAACAAAATGAAAGTTCTCATGATTCCTTTTATGTTACAAGGCTGGCCCCCTTCTTATTCCTGTTCACCCTTACCACCTCTGTTATTACAGTTTTTTCAAGATCACTCTGGAGAACAACTCTGCCTTTCCTATGAAGTACAAAGACGAGCAGACTGGAAAGTCTTGCACAAGTTTCATTATGGAAACTTTCTTTTATATGAAACAATGCTTATTCTTTAGTAATGTAGTTGTTTTTTTTATTTCAAAGAGCGGGGGAAAACATCACTAAGAGACAATAGTACACGCTATTTTAATATTTTTTATTAAGGGCTATAAAAATATCCAGAAAGATAAATAAATGTGATGCAATGATATATGTCCTAATATGAAGAACTTTCTTTCAGTCCATTGTTTTCCTTCACAATGGCCTTCAAATCACAGGAGGCAGTGATTCCGTGCCATTTCCTCTTCTTTTATTACACGCTGCAGAATTTCTGAATCAGTATCCCGCCCTCAGTCTTCTCATTTATAAATCAAATTCATTTTCAATCCATTGTTTAGAGGGAGCGTATTTTTTTCTGTTCCACAAAGAGGACTTTTGTTTTCACTGTAAGAGAAAAATGGGTTGTAGCAGAAAACTAAAAGCATCATCATCATTTTTAAATAAAAATATGTGTCAGACCACAAGCACTCTCTTTTCTCTTATTTTACTATTCCTTTCACATGAGGATGGAGCAGATTTGCAAACTCGGTTCCTCAATCCCAGAGGCCAAAGAAACCTAGAGAAAATGGTAAGGAAATCAAGGGAAGGTTCACCAGCCAATCAGTGGCATCTCTGGGACACCACAAGGTCATATCTCACTCAATGTGAAATATCCACATTAACAAACAAAACTAGGAGCAAAAAATGGAAAACATCCAATGTCTTCACCCAATTAATGAACACTCTTCCAGGAGAGAGACTAAGAGCTGGACTGAGGAAAAAAAAGCAGCAAGAACTGAGCAGACCAAGCAAAAGGCAGTCTGGCCAGAAGAGTAAATATACATTAAACCTTGTACTTTCCAGAGATGGTTTAATATACCCAAAAACTGATTTTCTTGTATGGTAAAAGAATGAAAATTATAACCAAAATCTCATTACTGAAAATATCAAAACAGTACAGTTCTCTGAAAGAAAGCCAACACAAAAGTACTAACTGCCCAGATGAAAGACTAGAGACTGGATGCTGGGCAGTAAGGTTTTCACTGTTCGTGTAATGCTTTATAGTACTCCATTAACTTCCAACATCTCTCTCTCCCTCTGTCTCTCGGTCTCTCACCACCTACTTATTCCTGGCCAAAAATCCAAAAGCAAACAATGCACCCAGGAAGATCCAGGAACTCAAAGGACTACAACACAACACCCCTCACTTATCCCGATCACACAGACATTTCACTACGGTTTTTCTTCTTCTTCTATAATCAATATGGATACTGTATACATGAGATTCCCAAGCTCTCTATGATTAAGAATAGGCTAGGTAGCTTAATTAAAATACATTCCTACTTCTCACCTCCACCCCTACCCTAATTCTGGTCTAATACATCTAGAGTGAGGACTGAACATCTACATTTTTACAAAACCTCAGATGATCCTGATGGTCAGCCAGATTTAAAAACTATTAGCCAGGGGGCACCTGGGTGGCTCAGTCGGTTAAGCGTCAGTCTTCAGCTCAGGTCATGATCTCACGGTTCGTGAGTTCGAGCCCCGCATCAGACTCTGCTGACAGTTCAGAACCTGGAGCCTGCTTCAGATTCTGTGTCTCCCTCTCTCTCTGCCTCTCCCCCACTTGCACTCTCTATCGAAAATAAACAAACATTAAAAAATTAAAAAAAAAACAAAACTATTAACCGGTCAACAGAATTTTATCTATGTTAATAAAAAAAACAAAATATATTATTACACTGTACAGAGGTATTTTTAATATATTCTGAATTATCTAATATTTTAAAAGTAGTAAAGTGTAGTAAAAATATCTAATATTTTAAAAATTGATGCTCCTTCAAAGTCTAAGAGGGACTACAAAGCATTATAAAATGGTAAACCACAATAGTTTCCCATCAAACAATATGATTCACTGCAGAAAATGTTTCCATGTTTTTCTACATGGAACTAAAAAAATGGCTAAAAAGAAAACCAGAACCCATCTCACTGGTAACCAATCAGGAGACTATTTAAATTACCCAGAATAGGAGTGACTAAGATCAGTAAAGCAAGGCTTTATTCATGAAAAATTTCGGATTCACTCACTGAATTCATTCTCTTACTCCAAAGAATAAATATTTCAGTCCACAGAACTGTGCTAAGCAATGTGGAGTTTATAGAAGTATGAGCAGAGCCCCTGAGTGTCCAGGAAGTAGGACCCTAAAGATCGAAGGGACTGGACCGGTAAGGGAACACCTCACGGACAGGGAAAGTTTGGTCCCCGAAAGAGCAGCCTTTGGATGAACTACAAAAGGAATACACATCTGGTACCAAGGAACAGTGGTAAGAGGTAAGAGGACAGTAGTGCTCCATAGCCTTGAATGCTAGGCTGACCCCAGTGGAAGATCCTAATTAAAAAAAAAAAAAAAAAAAAAAAAAATTAGGAAGATTACTTTGGCTCCACGTACTAGAAAAAATAGGGAGCCTGGCGTCGGAAAGATTGGGTTCCAACCTTGGCTCTACCACTTATATCTGCTGGGAGTCCCTGGACAAATTTCTCAAAATGTTCTGCTATCAGTTTGCTTCCCTGTGTGGGGGATAAGTCCATCTCCCTCACAGGGTTGCTGCTAGATACACAGTTGAGCTGAAATAATACACGCTATCCATGATCATAAACAAAAATTAATTTTCTGTCAAAATATTTGCTGCTGAATTCATAGAAGAATGAATCTGTCAAGTTCTTTCCTTACGTCTAACCTAAACCAACTCTGCTTCAATTAAAGTCTATATTGTCTTGTTTAGTCATCCAAGGAATCAAAAATGACAAGTTTTCATTTCCTTTACGATAAGCCTTCATATATTCAACAAAGTTTAATAAGCTTATGCCTCAGCATTTGGTCCTTCCTCCTTGGAAATTAGCATCTGGTTTTATATGAAGAAAAGGAGTCTGAAAAGACAGGCTGGTTCTAGCCAGAGTATACTGTGAAATGTTCAAATAATTGGGAATTTTTCTGTTTCCTTACTGATTTCCTTTATAAAGCAGACTAACAAAACATTACCCTTAAACTAGTCATTTATTCACTGCAGTAAAATATGTTGGGAGAACTGCCAAGCTATTTGGTACCTTGGGCAATGGGGCAGGCCCCAAGGCAAACATCATCATGCTAGCCTGCAGGGCATTCAGTAGATGGGCAGAAAGCCAGGCAGTCCACTATCCCGGAACATTCTCTTCTTCAGAAAAGGACAAAGTTGTGCTGTGAAGGCTTAGACCATTCCTTATCAGAAAAGTTCTAACAGTCTTTTATGGATGTCTTCTCCTACTTTCAACTTATGATCAGAACTGTTTATTGTAGTATTCTTTTCCAATCTCAAAACTTAAAATCAATTTGACAAATAAGTTCCTAACACCTCCGTACTAAGGATGAAAATCCCAATACATTCTCATGCTGAAAATATCATAAAAGGTTATTCAACTAACATTTATTAATGTTGTGCATGTTCCTAAATATAAATTCTAAAAGAGCTAAATGCTAGAAAAACAATTAACTTTCTGTAAAGTTCATCACTTTGAGCTTTTACCAGCTGATACAAAGAAATCAGGAGAAAAAAAAATCACACCAACTCTATCATATAGCTATAGTCTGAATATCTGTGTACCCCCCCCCTCAAATTCATATGTTGAAATCCTAAACCCCCAATACGATGGCATTAGGAAGCAAGGCCTCTGGTAGGTGCTTTGGTCACGAGGGTAGAGTTTTCATGACCAGGATTAATGCTTTATTAGGAGACCCCACAATACTTGCTTGCCCTTGTCCTCCATGTGAGGACAAGATGACGACACAGGCTGTGAACCAGGAAGAGGGCCTTCACCAGAAAGCAGCCATGCAGGCACCTTGAACTTAGGACTTCCCAGGCCCCAGAACTCTGAGTAATAAATTTCTGTTGTTTATAAGCCACCTAGTCTGTGGTATTTTGTTATAGCAACCCAAAAGGACTAAGAGACATACCTTACCATTGTAATAATTTTTCTACCATATGTGGTCACATCCTAGAATTCAGACTCCCAATCATCAGGTACAAACCTAGAACTCCTTTTATATTATGACAAAGAATGACCAGAAATTTTAACACTGTAAAAACGGCAGAGAATTTTATTTCCATTAAAGAATGGAAATCATCCAATTTTAAGCTGACAACTGGGCTTCTCAAGAGTCTTTTTTATATGCTCCTCACACTGGTAAGGGCCCTTGTGGGTTTTTTTGCAGGCGATACTATTTTTATTTTTCTTAGACATTGATGAATGAATGCAGCATAATGAATGGTACAACAGCGGTCATGAGACCTTCTGTACAAACTCTGAAGGCAGCTGTGAATGTAGCTGCTAGTCAGGATTGGCACTAATGCCTGCCCAGAAGTCATGCAATGGTAGGTAGGTTTTAGCCTCCCGTAAAACCTCCCATTCATAGGTCCCTACACAGAATAATTTAGGGCCCGGGGTTTAGAGTCAGAGAGTCTTCAGTTCAAATCTTTGTTCTGAAACATACTTTAGCTTTGTGTCCTTGATTAAAATCCTTTGCATAAAATTCTTCATCTAGAACATGGAGATCGCCTGGAGAGTATAGGTGCTTGTGTTCATGACATCTGAAGATAGGAGACTTGTGTAGGTAAGCAAAGAAGACAGAAATTTCCATTTTGTCTGGTTTTTCACAAGCACTAGTCTGTTTCCTTTCTTTCAGGGATCATGGTCTTTTATTGCAAATATTGTCCTTTTGTTGTTGTTTCCAGTGGGAAGGGAAATTTGATTCCTATTATTCCATCTTGGCCAGAAGTGAGAGTCTTATTCTTAGTTAATGAAAAAGTTGATTATGAGGTTAAGTATCTTTCATTATATAATGGATTAATTTTGGGAAATAAGATTCTGGTACCGATTCAATCTTGATCACCAAGTGGGTGTCTTACAATTCAGCTCAATTCTGCTCTCTTTTCATGCCCAGTACAGCCACGGCTTGTGGTCCCAAGAAGCATCTGAAGCACATAGCAGCTCCAAAGACTGGATGCTGGATAAACGGATGTGTTTGCCCCTTGTCCATCTACTGGTCCCCATAAGCTGAGAGAATATCTCTCTCTCATCATTTTCCTAAGGAACAGACTTGAGTATGCCCTCACAGCACATAAAGATCAGAATGCAGCATTTTACCAAGATTGATGGCAAGATCCCAACTGATAACAACCTACCCTGCTGGTTTTATGGATGACATCAACATTGACAAGACTGGGGAGAATTTCTGTCGGATCTGTGACACCAAGAGCTGCTTTGCTGTTCATAATATTGCACCTGAGGAGGCCAAGTATCAGTTGTGCAAAGTGAAAAAGATCTTTGTGGGAACAAAAGGAATCCCTCACCTGGTCACCCATTATGCTTGCATCATCTGCTATGCTGATCCCCTCATCAAGGTGAAGGACACCATTCAGACTGATGGTGGAGACTGGAAAGGTTACTGCTTTCATCAAGTTTGGCACTGGTAATCTGTGAGTGGTGACCAGGGATGCCAACCTGGGAAGAATTGGTATAATCACCAACAGAGAGAGAGAGACACCCTGGTTCTTTTGATGTAGCTGACGTGAAAGATGCCAATGCAAGAGCTTTGCCACTTGGCTCTCCAACATCTTTGTTATTGGCAAAGGCAACAAACCGTGGCTTTCTCTCCCCCTTGGAAAGGGTGTCTGCCTCACCATTGCTGAAGAGAGAAACAAGAGACTGGTGGCCAGAGCAGTGGATAAAATGGTCTGTAGGTGATATGATTGGAAGTCTTTATACTTAATTAAAGATAATACAGCATGATTAAAAAAAGAAGGAAAATTCTGACATGATCTACCAGTTATTAGTAACTCAGGAACAGTCAGATGGAAGTGACGCATAGGTGTGGGCAAGGGGCGCACAGGTCACTCTCCCATAGTCAATACGTGTTCACCAACCCAGAAGTTCCAGTACAGTTCTTACTAAGAAACATTTATAAAGAGGCTGTTCAGAATCAAGGGCACAAAAATTAAGCAAATGGCCTGGAGTTTTAAAATAAATCATTGGTTTGCTAGTTTACTTCACATAACTCTGCTCACAAAACCCAAAAACAAAACTGGGCTTCTACCAATAGCAATCAGCTGCTGTCTTTTGTAAGCAGGCAATCTTGCCTTGGAAACACTTGTCTCTTCTGGACAAATACTTCTACCTACCGAGACTATTTAAAGTTACCATTTATTATGGCATTTTAGCAGAGAGTACAAATGACATTTCTTAACTTCCTCCATCAATATATAGATACCATACTCCTTTAATTCAAATCGGGACCTAACTGCCTGGCACAGTTAAATGATCCCAGGAGAATATTCCCTCCCCTTCTGAAGACACTCTTTTCTTTCCGTTTCCAGAAAAGTATCACCTATTCTGTTTACATAGCTGGTTTCTTTACCAGATCTATCCTATTCAAGAATAAGACAAAGGTGGAATCTGCCTCTCCCCAACTTTATCGTGTATCTCAGCATCCTGCTTGTGTCTCTCAAAGAACTCAGCAGAACGTCATTTTTTTTCTTTTTTTTTTTTCTCTCCCTTCCAAAACAGACTGTATGTACCAAGAGTGCAGGGACTGGGCCTGAAGGTGTCCTGGTGTATCCCACCACCTGGGATAGTAAGTGGCACCATAGTAAACACTCAACATATACTTGCTGACTGAATGCTACAGTGTCAGAGGGGCCACAAAAATGGCCAAAAGACGTTCAGCATCAGTCTGGAAAGGGCAACAGGCCCTGAAAGCATCTGAATTTACTGTGGAGTAATTTATCTGAATCTTACCAATTGGATCATAATGTAAGAGAGTCAGTTTCTCCCGTAGTCGGCTTCTCTTAGTGTTGAAGGAGTAACCTGTCCCAGCTTGGCTTAGCATTTTCACCAGAATGGTTCTAAGATTTAAAAATAAGCTATTATAAGCTGAGGAAATAAACTAAAATCAGTCGTGGGAGGACGACACCTTTTGAGAACTCTGTACAGTAGTGTTAGCTGTGGGATATCAACCCAAAAAGGTTCAGTTCTAAGACAGCCTACATTTTCCATAAATCACAATTTCAATGGTTCTGATTTCCAAGGTCTGTTCTATTATAGAATACCTTGGCAATCAACTAACCAAGCAACAAGAACAATCAAACCACGTTGTGGAACAGACTCAGACACTCACCTCTTAGAAGGAGAAGTCAGGAAGGGCGGTGGGGGGGGGGGGGGCCGCGAATACAAAAGTGCTGGTAACTCTAGCTGGCTAGTCAAGAAATCATAAAGCTGGCTATCACAAAAGAGCCCTATCTTCCAGGATGTGTGTAATTAGAGTAAAATTAGACAGGGACAAAATAAAAGGATGGTAACTTTTACACTATTAACATGCAAAATCTTGTTCTCCCTCATATTGTGTTTAAGTTATAGTCATCCAAAGCATAAAGTTCATGTTTTGCCTCACTAGACCTTCTAATCCCTTGTACTGTTACTTGTTTGTGTGTCTGGCTTCCCTATGTAGAGCATGCTATCTTATTTCTTAACTATTCCAAAGAGAATCTGTAGCATCTATAATACATTACACATCGGGGCGCCTGGGTGGCTCAGTCGGTTAAGTGTCCGACTTTGGCTCAGGTCATGATCTCATGGTTCGTGGGTTCAAGCCCCATGTCGGGCTCTGTGCTGACAGCTCAGAACCTGGAGCCTGCTTCTGATTCTGTGTCTCCCTCTCTCTCTGCCCCTCCCCTGCTCACACTCTGTCTCTCCCTGTCTCTCAAAAATAAATAAATGTAAAAAAAAAAAGTAAAATGAAAAAAAATACAGTACACATCTTTGCATCCCTTTCAATGTCTAGCACAGTGCCTCACACATAAAAGGTACACAATATTTGTTAATTAAGAAAGGCCATAGGGGCACCTGGGTGGCTCAGTCGGTTGAGCGTCCGACTTCAGCTCAGGTCATGATCTCACAGTTCAAGAGTTCGAGCCCCAAGTCGGGCTCTGTGCCAACAACTCAGAGCCTGGAACCTGCTTCAGATTCTGTGTCTCCCTTTCTCTGCCCCTCCCCCACTCACGCTCTTTCTCAAAAATAAACAAACATAAAAAAAAAAGAAAGACAATAATTAGTCCTTCATTCAAAAAGATTTAACAAATACCTATTAAGCGCTTACTCTGTGGAAAGCACTGTGGGAAATGCAAAGCTCTATAAGGCTGCAACTGCCCCTTCCAGGAACCAACAGTATAGTATGGAAGGTGAGTGGTGAACACAAAGTCTATAAGGTAAGACATATTTGGCAGATGTCATAAGAAGGATACAAAGAACGTGAGAGGCAGGGTTTCTTTTTTTTTATAGGGAGACACAAAATTTTTTTCAGGCTCCAGGCTCTGAGCCATCAGCCCAGAGCCTGACGCGGGGCTCGAACCCACGGACCGCGAGATCGTGACCTGGCTGAAGTCGGACGCTTAACCGACTGCGCCACCCAGGCGCCCCGAGAGGCAGGGTTTCTAAAGAAACCAGAGGCACTGGAGATTCCTACATAATTTAGACGTGGGAATTCTAACATAAATAAACTGGATTGTGGGAAAAGCTGTATGAATAAAAGCTATTTGGTAGAAAGCACTAACTTATATGTTTTCCATTAACTTTAATCCAAAAACCTAGTTTTAAGATTTGTGATATGTCTTGGGTTGTAAGTAAAGCCTGCTTTAGAATTTTCCTTTTTTTTTTTTTTTTTTCTGGAAAATAATTCTCCTATTTTTAACACAGAAAATCTTACTTCAGTTATTGTCTACAAATTTTATTTTGAGATGCCAGTTTGGTATTTATAGTCTCTCTGGTACAGCATGGAATCTTTAATCTTTGCTATTTTTGAAATGCTTATTCTATGAATGCAAAGGATCACACAACTCATCGAAACTGTCTCTGTAGTTCAATCAAATCACAGCTTGTTCAGCTAGATTCCTGTAGTGGCCTCCAAACAAATGGCCCTTCGACCTGACTTTGAAGAAACAGAAATATGGTAGTATTCCAAAGAGAGCATGGGAACCCTGATGGTTTGTTCAGGAACAAGGGAGCAAGAGCTCCTTTACTTATCTGAATGGCTCACTTAAGTAGATCAGTTGGGCAGGGGGAAAAATATTTTCTGAAAGCGTTCATAGACCCAAAACGATTCACCAAGTAATCCTCAAATCAACTTTCAGAAAATTGAAACCAAATGCTTAGTTTAATTAATATAAGGATGTATTGGCAGGGGCTGGAAAAACAAATCTAACATAAACAAGTTAAAAAAAAAAAAAAAGAAAGAAAAACCTTACTTACTTTGACTTGCTCTTGGCAACTTTTTCGCAGAGAGGAAAGGTTGAAAGAGAAAAGAAAATATCAATTTATTATCTTTCTTATGCAAAGTTCATATGTCTGTAATAAATAATGTAAGTTATAGAAGTATGCCATGGGTTGTCACTCAAGTAACTACTCCCTAGCTTGTAGGGATCTCGCTAAGATTCTGGAAAGAAGACAAAGATCCAATGAAACCAACACAATTCTGGATGTAATGCTTTGCACAATCCCTTTTCAGTGGGGCTGGTTACTTTTCAAATCGCTCTAAGATCTGCTCCACATGTTCCTCTTCTAGGTGCAAATATTTGCACTGGAACAAGCCTCTGGTTTGACAAGTTAACCCATGCAAATTTCAGCAACCACATGAGGTGGAGGAGGGAAACTAAATCTAATCGAACAGTTGGCCTGGTGCAGAATTGGGAAGCCAGAACACTTCTTTCCCAGCCCAGCTGTATTGACCTAGTCACTGCCTCTCTCAAGCCATTTCCTCGTCTTCAGAGTTTGAAACGAGTGGAATAAAAATTCTGAGGGTTCTCCCCCCCCCAGTTCGGACGTGCAGAGATTCTGCTGACACGTCCCTACGAAGGACAGGGAAAGCACCCCACTCCTGCTGACCAGACACGACCGTCCCTGCGACCGCAAAGGGATGAAGAACTAGCACTAGAGACCTCCAAGCCCCACGGAGGAGTGCCGCGGAGCATGCCGGACGCTGTAGTCCTGAAGGCCTGGCAAGTCGCAGCGGCAGGTTCCCGACCGGCGCGCGCCCTCAAACCCGCACCGTCCCGAAGCCTGCCTGTCACGGCCTCCCGCCCTTGCCGCAGTCCCTGCCGCCTCCTCCATCCCCACTTACAGGTGACCGCGGACAGGAACATGGCGACAACTCCCCCAACAGTCTCCGAAATCGGCCCAAAAGCACTCAACAAGCAACTTCTTCCGGGGCACAGGCCTGTTCCGGAAGAGAACGTGATGATTTGCCCCAGGCCACGCCCCACGCCGCCCCCCACCCCTCCCAAATAAACCTCCAGACCCGACGCTGTCTCTTGCTTGTGTTCGATATGAGCTAGTTGTTTTATCTTTGTAGTGGTGGAGGCTGAACTCCCTTTCTCTACTAGAGAGGGAGTTTAAAAGCGCTCAGGGTTCGCGCTCCAACCCTTGCCTCTTACTTCCGGGGCAGAGTTAGGTCTTTCCATACTTGTTTTCACTAAATAATCGCAGCCACCTGCATTAAAGCCACAGGCTATGTATGTGTTTCTCAGCTGCTCCAGACTACCAGGCTCCCGCATATTTCCTTAAAGTGTTGCCTTCTTTTGCTTCTTCCGGCCCAACTTCATCCCCTCCTGGTTAAGAGCTGCTCTTAGTCCCTTCAGGGTTAGAACCTCCACCTGAATATCCCCCGTTCCTTAATTATCTGTTGGATTTCTAGGAGGGCACGACCTTGCGTATCTTATGTTAACGTGCCTTATCAGAGCACCCAGCACAGTTGCCTGCAAGAGGGACTGAATAACTCATTTGGAGTGCTCACGTACGTTGCCTAATGTGACAAAACTAGTAAATGGCAGAGTCAGAATTCGAACCCAGATTTTATCTGACTGCCAAGACTCATGCCTTTCCCACTAAACATTGGGACCTAATCTGCATCTTCAGTTCTTCACTTCTCTCTGCAAGGAACTCCTTCAACACTAGGAACTTCATCTGTAACCCCATTCCCCAACTAACAATCAAGACTTTCAGATTTTTTCCTCATCTATGATTTTGTCTATATATTAAATCTTAACAAATGTGTGAAATAAAATTCAATCTCATGGATTATACTCACTAAAAGTAATAAAATTATTTAAAAGAGAAAATTTAGCTTTTCAATACAATTCAAGTTTGTAAAAATTAGGACTGCCCTTGCCCTTCGTACCTTATAGTTTTTTCACCCTCTAATAATTTTCAGTCCTCTTGATAATCTGACTTCAACAACTGAGTACCCTGTAGGTGCCCCAATCCTTCCTTACCTTGTGCAGTTTGCTGACAAATAGTTTTAGGTGTTTAAGAGGGTAAGGTTTCTTATCTAGGAAATTCCTTTAAAGGATATATAAGAAAGAACACAGGACTGGAAGCCAAGGAACATGAATTTCAGCCTTTGTTCTGTCCTTTGGAAAGTCTTTCAACTATTTTCACCTCGGCTTTATGCTCAGTGGGGCATTGGATCAGTGGATCTCATCCCTAGATGGTATAGCAGAGTCACCTGTGGCCTTTTAAAAGCTCCATTTGCGGGGCGCCTGGGTGGCTCAGTCGGTTGAGCGTCCGACTTCGGCCAGGTCACGATCTCGCGGTCCGTGAGTTCGAGCCCCGCGTCAGGCTCTGTGCTGACAGCTCAGAGCCTGGAGCCTGCTTCCGATTCTGTGTCTCCCTCTCTCTCTGCCCCTCCCCCGTTCATGCTCTGTCTCTCTCTGTCTCAAAAATAAATAAAAAACGTTAAAAAATTAAAAAAAAAATAAAAATAAAAGCTCCATTTGCCACCAGCGAGGCCCAGAATCTGTATTTTCTCCCAAATTTTCTATAAAGAGGCATTTCAAACATATCAAAAAGTTGAAAGAATAGTGCAATGAACACATCATATACCCAATGCAATCAATGTTAACATTCTACTCTCTCTGTATACTATTTGAATAAATAAATATATTTTTATATATGGTTTTTTGCTAAGCTGTGTGAAAATAAATTGCAGACGTCACAAACCTTCACCCTTACACATTTAAGTAGGTATCTGTCAAGACTAAGATTATTATAACTATACTACTATTTTCACTTCTAAAAGATTAACAATAGTTTCCTAGTATCTAGTCCATATTCAAACTGTCTTTTATAGCTGGTTTCTTCAAAAACAGTACCCAATGACTAAGACAACATCTCTGTCTCTCTCAGAATCTGGCATCAAACTTTTGCCTCCCCTCCTTCCTCCTCTCCATAGAACCTGTTCTGGTGAGGGCCTTGACCCCTACACAACCAAATCTCATGGTCAATTCTTGAGCCTCATTATACTCAGCATCTATCAGTATTGTTTTTACACAGTTGCTCACTCCCTCCTCTTGAAAAACTCTCTTCACTTGGTGTCCAGGTATCCGCTCTCTTGGTTTCCCTCCTTCCTCATCAACAATTCTTTCTCCATTTTCACCTCACCATTTTCACCCTTCAGTGGAGGCATGCCCAGGGCTCAGTCCTCGAATCTCCTCTGTCCACACTTATCCCCTTGGTGGTCACACCTAGCTTGGGTTTTGAAACACCCAGGAGCTGAAGATTTCCAAATTTATATCTCCAGTCTCAACCTTTCCTCTGGATTCCAGATTGGTGTATTTAACTGCCTACTTGATATCACATGACCAAAATCAACTTCCCGAACTTGGTCTGTACCCGTAAGGCATCCCCCATCTCAGTATGTGGCAATTCCATGTTTCCAGTTGCTCAAGTAAAAAGCCCAGGAACCAACCAGACACCTCGTTCTCTCATGACCTATATGTAATAAACCAGTAAATTGTGTCATTTGAATGTTACCTAATCAGTGAAGCCTTCCCTGGCCACAGAAAGAAAGCAACACACACACACACACACACACACACACACACACACACACACACAC